CCATAATCAAGTATCCTTTTCTATATCCTAATCATGAGCTATACTAGATTCTTTTGTATCATGAAGTATGATGTAGCCTTCCAACAGCCAAGGTGGGGAAAAAGAAACTAATCTAGAAGTCACACTTGTATATGGGGTCAAACTAGCAGGATAACTGATTTTTCTTTTAATCATATTTGCTTATTATCAATAACCATGCAATAGACTACAGAGGGCTTTAGAATTGACCCATCTGCCCACAGTTTTGGCTCCAATTACAACCTGAAATGTCAGTGGCCTCTACACCCACCTGTCCTGTGACTGCCTTCCAAGACTATCTTTGATTCTATTAACTAGTCACTCATTCACATTCACTTATTTAATAAATATTTCATGTCAGTCACTATACAAATAAACAAAATAGATCTCCACTTTTAGGAACTTCTATTTCAAATGAGGAATAAAAAAATTTGAATAAGTAAATTGTACAGTATGTGGAGAACAATAAATCTTTTATTTATTTATTTGTTTGTTTGTTTGTTTATTATTTATTTATACAAGCATTGGGTACAGTCAGAAGCACAGGAGGGTGAGAGAATTCACCAGAGCCAGAGCAGGGAGCAGAGCAGGCAGAAGGACCGAAGTACACTGCTGAGGGGAGCAGCGGGCGGCAGGAGAGGTCTGCGCGCCATGTGGGACCCTCCTCCGGTGGCCGGGGAGCAGCCGGGGATCGAATCGGTGCTGCAGAGGCTGCGGGCAGCTTCGCAACCCAGCGCTCAACCGCTGCGCCACCGGGGAGGCCCATATGGAGAGCAATAAAAGAAAAAATAGAAAATAGGAAGAGATCAAGATTAAAATTTTAAAAGAGAAGATCGAAGAAAATACCACTTAAAAGATTTGGCAAGGATAAGAAAAGGATAAAGAAAGTAGTCATGAAGGTATTTGAAGGGAAAGTACTCTAAGCAGACGGAACAGCCTGTGTAAACGTCCTGAGGTAGGATGAAGTCTGAGAGCGGGGAGGCCAATGTTGCTGCAGCAGAGTGAGCAGTGGGAAAGAATAGTCATAAATGAGGTCAGAGTGTTTTAGGGGACAGTTTATAGGGGGTCATTGGTATTTGTTCAGAGTGAAATAAGGAGATTATAGGGTTTTGAGAAGAGTGACACAATCTAACCCACTTTCTTAAAGGATCACCCTTGCTCCTGCATTCAGAATAGGCTGATAGGTAGAAGAAGGAAGACTTGATGAAAGACTCTTAGAATAATTGATGCAAGGATACAGAGGGCTTGGACGAGTGTGGCAGCAATAGAGGTGGTTTGAAAAAATTGGATTCTGCATGTACTCGGAGATAGACTTGACTTATTTCTTGACTCACTGAATGTGGAACATGGAAGAATGACTCCAGTGATTTTTGACTGAGCCAAAGAATAACGGAGCTACCCTCCACTGAGATGGAGAAGAGCATGGGCAGAGCCGATGTGTGTGGAAAGATCAGCTCAGTGGGACATATTGAGTCTGACCTCCAAGTGGAGCTGCTGATTTGGTAGTAGGACATAAGAGATTGAAGGACAGTGGCGAATTCTGGGGATCAACACTCAGGGATCCAAGTACGTACATCCTTGACATTGGACTAGGTCAACAATGGACTAAGTGAGACAGGGGAAAAGAAAATGACCAAGGACTGAACCCTAAGACCCTTTAACATTAACCAGTCTGGAGACAAAGGGGTATCAATAAAAGAACCTGCAAAAGTGTACAAATGAGGTGAAGGGTGTTAGGGTCAAGCAGTAAGACAGGCTGTAATTTCAATGAGAACATGCGTGAGGAATATTCTACTCTCCAGTGACTTTGTTCTTGGCCTCCCTGTGACCACACTCCTGGGTGTTTTCCCTTTGCACTTAAGGCACTTATTTCAAGTCCTTTCCCTATCGTACCTGGGTACGGCTGGCAGCAGTCAGAGCAGCATCTCTGATATCAGGAAAATAGCTCAGACAGGCAGCTTGTCTGCTGCTTCAATATTCCCTGTGTCCAGAGGGCAATGTGCCAATTCAAACAGAACCTACAGATGGTGCCCTACCCAATGCTAGCAAAACACAGAAGGAGAGAGCACTCCAGCAAGCTGCCTGGGGTAAACTCTTGGGGTGTCACACAGTCTATGGGAGCACAGCTTGTAGAAGATGACACACCGAATCCTGGAAAGAAGACCGATAAACTCAGAGGCCCAGGGCACCCTCATACTTGACACTGGCAGCGCTGCCCTCTGGCCTTGTGGTCAATGTACTGAAGCTGCTCTAAGGAGGAAACAACATCTAGGAATTCAGTTCTGAGATTTTGAGAACAAGGAAACATCCTCAAAGCATCAGCTCTGCAGTCTGACTTATATGCTGGCTTGTGTTTGAGATGCCACCATTATCACAGTGTAATGTCTTCATTAAAAAAAATGTTTTTAATAAACCCTGCTATCCACCACTCTCAAGTCAAAATAGAAAGAGTCTGGTAAAGAAGAACAGGAAGAAGGAAGAAGGCATAAGATTGGGAGGATGAAGACCCTCCCTCCACCATGGCCACCCCCGTCCCCCACTTCAAGGGAGGAAGATGGTCCAGAACAGGAAGGCAGGAAACAGAACCTCACCACCTGGAGTTTCCCCTGTTGAAAGATGTAGGAGGGAGGCACCAGTGTGAGTCAGAAACTTTTTGGTGGTGCTTTAGAGCTGCTCATGCAAATTTTCTTAGGCCTTCTTTGCTACCACAGAGGAAATAGCCTAAACCCAAAGGCCTTGCTGATTCACAAAAGCCTCAAGGAGGCCAAGTGTGACTCTTCTGAGCCTCTGAGGGTCTGAGGGCAGTTTTCTCACTCAAAGACAGAAAAAGGCTCAACTCCCCCTTCATCTCCTACCTTGTCAGTCAACTCCTTCTGCCTGCTGCTCCCTATGCAAGTCTGTTTCTCACCCCAAAACTTGAACCAATGCTGAAAGATACAGAATTCTGTGATTCTTATTTCATTTTATTTGATACCCCATATTTCTCATCTCTCTTCCCTGGGCTTTCTTAAATTCTCCCTCTTTTGAAGAAGATGGATGAGAGGAGGGAAGAGGTGGCCCAAGGGCATTCTCTGGATCCACTGAAAATGGTTGCTGTTCTAAGTAACCTCTTCTTTGAGGGCAGCACTCTCTGAACATGCTGGAAACCAATGGTCATATCCCCTGCTTGGAACCCGGAGCCTCACCTTGGTTGCTCTGGGGAAGGAGACTGGGCACTGACAGCTCACAGGGCAACAGGTTCCTAATTCATGCACCTTGATCTGTTGCTGCATCTGTTTCCCTGGTGATTCAAAACAATGTGCAGCTTGTTTGGGAAAAGCAAGGAGGTCAATGTGACTAGGGTGAAGTAAGTGAAGAAGAAAGTGGTAGGAGGTGAGATCAGAAAATATACAGGGCCCTCCCTGGTGGTGCAAGGGGTTAAGTTGCAACCTATGAAGCTATCCATAGCCACTGCAGCATGAGCTCGATCTTCGGCTGGTCAGGGGGCCAGGGAGCTACCCACATGGTGCAGCAGACCTCTCCTGACTCACCCGCTGCTCCCCTCAGCAGTGTATTTCAGTCAGTCTGCCTGTTCTGTTCCCCACTCTGTCTCTGGTGAATCCTCTCACCTCCACACCTCTGGCCTGTACCCCAGCTCTTGTATGCATAAATAAGTAAATCTTTTAAAAAACGTACAGGAAGCAGCTTATGTGGTACCTGGCCAGTAATGGTGAAAGAACTAGAATCTATTTCAAATGAAAGGAGAAGCTTCTGCATCATCAAAGCAACAAGAGAGAGCAAGTGTCGGTGAGGAGGGGTAGGAAAGGGAATGCTCATGTACTTATGTGCCCAATTTACTGGGAATGTAAACTGATGTAGCCACTGGAAAACAGTATGGAATTTCCTCAAAAATTTCAAAGTAGACTTGCGTTCAATCCAACAATTCCATTTCTGGATACATAGCCAAAGAAATGAAAAATATATTGAATATCTGCTCTCTCAAGTTCGTTGCAGCATTATTCTCAGTGGCCAAGATGTGGAAACAACTTAACTGTCCACTAATGGATTAAAAAAAAGGAAATGATGATCAATGATAGATAGATAGATAGATAGATAGATAGACATATACAGTGGAGTATTATTCAACCATAAGAAAGAAGGAAATTCTGTCATTTGTGACAACATGTATAGACCTTGACAACATGATAAGTAAAATATGACAGAGGAAAACAAATACTATATGGCATCACTTCTATATGGATTCTAAAAAAATAAGCCAAACTCATAGAAACAGAGTAGACAAGTAGCTGCTGGCTTGTGGGAAAAACAGGGAGAGCTTAATAAAAGGGTATAAACCTTCAGCTATAAAATTAAATACAATTTAGAGTGGCACAAGGGGTTAAGCACAGCGCTATGAAGCTGTCTGCAGCCTTGCAGCATGAGTTCAATCCCCGGCCAGCCAGGGAGAAACCCACATGGTGCAGCAGACCTCTCCTGTCTCGCACGCTGCTCTCAGCAGTGTACTTCAGTCAGTCTGCCTGTTCTGCTCCCCGCCCTGTCTCTGGTGAATCCTCTCACCCTCCCATGCCTCTGACCTGTACCCCAACTCTTGTATAAAAATAAATTTTTTAAAAAATCTTTATAAAAATTAATACAGTTTAACCGATACAGGGCAGCAAGTGGCACTCAAACTGACCAAAGACAGTGCCCAAATACTCCACAGGTCACTGTCTGAGTTCTTCACCCATGCACACAATTGTAAGACCCCTCAGGTTTGAGAACAACAATAATGGGATTTATTTAACAAAACAGGGAAAACAAAGAGTTACTGAGGCCACAAATGTCCATTTACCTCACCCGAAGCCATATCCAGTGTTTAAGTCCTAAACACTAACACTCAAAAAATGGCATCTTCCCATCACTACGGACCTAGAGCAGTAGCAGCCAGACTATAGGCCAGGATCCAACTCATGAAGACAGAAGACAAAACAGGAGCTGCTCACCTGAGCTGCCGAGATGTGCCAGCACAGCACCAGACAAGCGGGACTCAGAACAGCAGCTGCAGCAGCAGAATGACCCGACAAGCGGCCCAAGCTCACGCTCACACAGCTCAGGAGGCAGCCAGCTCCAGGTCTTCGCCCTCCCTTCCAGGCTGTAACAGCAGCAAAGTTGGGCACAGTTTCAGTTGCTTAGCTACCTGCAAAGTCTCTGAACTTTTCTTCTCTGAGGTTGGCTGCTGAAAGCTTCTCTGCAACCATCAGAGGCCCACAGCAGCCTTCTGGAACATCTGCATGGTAGGGGCAGAAATTGCTGACCCCAGAAACACCAAAAGGTCCGGAAACACCAAAATCCCGAAATCTGAATCCTGAACATTGAAAATTCTGGGGGCTGCTGTTTCTGTCCCTTAAATTTCTTATCAGCGGCTCCACCCACACCTACTTAGTTCGTATTTTGCCTGGGGCTATCAATCCTCACCAGCATCCCCCCTCCAGGGGGTGCCATCTGTAACAGTCTTTGGTATCAGCCCCGCTACATAAGGATCAGTTGTACAACATGGCAACTACAGTTGAAAACGCTGTATTACATAATAGAAATGTGCTAAAAGAATACAACTTAAAAGTTCTCGCAAGAAAATGTATATATGTGAGGTGATGGGTTTGTTAATTATTTTTTTTTAAAGATTTATTTATACAAGAACTGGGGTACAGTCAGAGGCGCAAGAGGGTGAGAGAATTCACCAGAGACAGAGCAGGAAGTAGAACAGGGAGACAGACGGAAGACATTGCTGAGGGAGCAGAGGGCGAGACAGGAAAGGTCTGCTGCGCCATGTGGGTTTCTTCCTGGCAGGCCAGAAATTGAACCCACACTGCAGAGGATGCAGATAGCTTCACCGTGCTCAATCTGCTGTGCCACCAGGAAGGCCCGGGTTTGTTAATTATTTAGATGGTGGGATTCCTTTCATAAAATAAACAAATATCAAATCACCACAATGCACACTTTAAATTTCTTACCATTTTTTGGGCAATTATACCTCAGTAAAATTGAAAAAAAGGAAATAAGCCAGCACTGGAGGGTTTGAGCAGAGCAGGATATGACCTAATTATAATTTTAAAGGATAGGTCGGGCCCCTATAGGGAAACACTATTTCCCTATAGGGGAGAGAGGTGAGAGATAATGGTGACTTAAACCCAAGTGAGAGAGATGCTCAAAGGTGGACAGATTCAGGACACATGAAGGAAAAGAACAGGATTCACCAATGTCCTGAACCAAGATATAGGGTCCACAGCTGGGTCCAAAAATCTTCCATTAACTGAGATAGGAAGTAGAAGATTCAATGGATTGCGTGGAACCTTGAGTTCATTCTTGTGTATCTTCATTTGAGGTGCCAAATGGGAAATTGCAGTGGAGATGCCTGGAGGTTAACGAGCCCATTGGGACTGGAAAAACAGATCTGAAAGTCATCTGCATATGAATTAGAAGTATTGTATGCATCTGGATAAGATGAGGGGGAGGAGGAGAGAATACAGCTGCAGAAGAGATTCAAAACTAATCTCCAGAATATTCCAGTTTTTAGGAATCGAGAAGAAGAGGTGCAGCAAAGGAGAGAGGAGAGAAGCAAAACAAAGAGGGACCTGGAATCCATTGCATAACAGTTAACTGCTTCAGTCTCTGAAAACTGAGTAAAGGAGACTGAGAATTAAATCCAAGTCCCAAACTACATTTGGCAGAGCCCTGAATTTCCTGTACTGCCTGCAGGGTTGGGGAGGGGCAGATTAAGGTGGGACTCGGGCCTCCAGGTTAAGTAAGACTTAGTCAACAAGCTTCCAGACCATCCTCCTGCTTCAGCTCTTCTCTTCCAGTTTAGCGTTCCATGTGAAATTTCCTCTGAAGAAAGGATTCCTCTACTTACAACACAAAACTGAAAACTTCTGTAGCACTTTCTACCACTGGGAATGCAGAGGGTCTCTCCTCAAGCACCCCTCCAGCGAAAAATTCAAAGCAGAGGTTAAAAACCACAGAGTAGATGATTTCTGAGACTTTCAACTCTGAACCCCTGGATTCTATTCTTTTAGTCCCAGCTGAACAATCATCTCAGTTCAGACTCCACCCAATGGGCTGAAAATGACGTTGATGGAGACATATGGCCTAGTTTGTCCTCATACATGGATTTGATAATATTTATGAGCCTTTGAGGAGGGTTATAAGAAATATTTATTGGGTCAAAATACTGCCTCAGACTCCGATTTTAAAGAAAATTGCTGTCCTGAACTGTTCAGTGAATCAACCAAGCCTTCCTGCTCTTCCTGACACACCTTGGCAATGCACTCCTTGGCAGTGCAGTGTGTCTGGCCTCAGACAGTTTCTGAGCAAGTTCTCACCCATGACTGCCAGCCTACAGCAGCAGAGCAGCCTGCCTTTCCAGCTCAGTTTTTAAGTAACTTCAAATTTTCTTGGTTTCCTAGATACTGCAATTTCTCTGTCTTCTGCTAAGCAGAAACATTAACAAGTTTAGGTAACTAAGGATGCCCTTTCTGTGGCTCTAAGTTTCTAAATTCTATCAATTTGCCATGCAGGTCTGTTAGAGAAATATAATGATCTTGGAGAAAACTGAGTTTAGGGGAAGCAACTTTGCTTCCTTCAACAAGCTTTCATTTCCAACACCAGGATCTAAGGAAATGAAGCATGAGTTGGATTTACAAAATTTTAAATCCATATTTTGAACATTTGAGCCTTAATCTGCTCTTGTAATTCTTCTACTCCTCTTCCAAGATATTCTTCCTATATTTTAAGAACTTTGATCAAATATATCTTTATCCTAAGAGAACATTATAATGCCATCTCCTATGTAAGACAAGAGAAGCAAATCAAAAAGCATGGTGAAATATTTCACACCCGTGAGATTGGCATACATTATAAATATCGCCAGCAATCTTTTTTGTGCTGGACAGGGTATGGAAAAAAAGGATCCTTACTACATTGTTGGTGGGAATATAAATTGGTGCAGTCATTTTGGAAAGCAATCAGGATCTACCTCTAAAAACTAAAAATGGAAACAGTGTAATGTTGTTGATCAGTGCAGCCCCCAAGGACACACAGACAGCTGATGCAAGAACAAAAAGGAGTTTATTACAGGCTCGAGTCCAGGCTCACGACAGGCACAGGCACCGATGTAACGGCGGAGGTTGGGAGCCCTGAACAAAGGGAACGGGGATCTTATATAGGGTTACAATTAGATTTCTAAAAATTAAATCATGTTGGCAATCATTCATTGGTTACACAGGTGCACTTCTTAACAACGGTGGGTACACAGTTTCAGTTTTTGAGCTGATTGGTCATATTGAGATGCAGCTCTACTTTACGGCTAGTTTGACCCCATTAGTGGCCCGAATTGCTCGGCTCTATTTTTTGGCTAATTAGACCCATTACTCGGCTCCGCTGTGGCTGGCCGTCCGAGATAAGACCAGAGTGGGGTGGGAGTCAAAACCTTCTGTGGAATGCAGTCTTTCCTGGGACAGCAAAACCTAAAATTCTAAGATGGCAGTTACACACAAAATGACAAAGCAATGGCTAAGAATACTTATGCTTGGTTCCACATGTATGACCCAGTGTAGTGAGGCAACCAGGTGCGAGGCATGCAAGGGGAGGCGGGGAAGGGAGGATGGGGTGGGTAAGGAGGCCAAGAGGCTGGCAGCCTCCCAGCCCCCACCAAATCTTTACTCTTTCCCTGTGAGCTCTCTCTGGCATCATCTCATGGTCCTGTCTCACTGTAGTCACTCGTCCTCTCATAGCCGTTCCACTATAACTCTTGTTTTTTTTAAAGATTTATTTATTTTTATACAAGAACCGGGGTACAGACCAGATGGGCGGGTGAGAGGATTCACCAGAGACAGAGTACGGAGTAGAACAGGCAGACTGGTGAAATACACTGCTGAGGGGAGCCGCGGCGAGACAGGAGAGGTCTGCTGCGCCATGTGGGACCCTCGCCAGCCGGCCAGGATCGAACTCGCGCTGCAGAGGCTGCCGACAGCTTCACAGTGCGGCACTCAACTGCCGACGCCACCAGGGAGGCCCCATAACTCTTTCGTGTGACACCACCATTATATCCCCAGCCTCCAGGAAGTGTGGTGTGCACACCTACCCATGCCACACCATGCTCCAGGTGTCCACAGTCAGGCACATATGCAAGACCATAGTGCCAGCCATAGATGCTAATGTCAGGAGAGCAGAAAAAAATCAGGTAACTTCCATTTACCCTACATCCAGCAATGCAATCCCACCATGGGGCATCTGTCTAAAGAATATAAAACCATCAATTCAAAAAAATTACATGTTCCACAATATTTATTGCAGCATTATGTTTAATATCTAGGACTTGGAAGCAACCTAGAGGCTCTCTGAAAGATTGGATAAAGAAGATGTAGTATATTTGTACAATAGAATACTATTGAGGTATAAGAAATAAAGTTATCATTTACAATAAAATGGAAGGATTTTGAGGGACTTATGTGTAGTAAAGTGAGTCAGGAAGATAAAGACAAACATTTGGTGTGTTCATATATATGAGTAAAACAAGGAATCATGTGGATAAAGCAAAAAAATAAAAAACTAGTAGACATTCATAAAGGAAGTGAGATTTTTGAGGTTAAGACTGAGGGGGGAAAGTGAAAGGGTCAAGGCATAGAAGAGAAGGTGCTGTGTTGGGGGGAAGAAAAAGAAAATAACCATTAAGTTTCCTCTCTTAGCATCTACCTTGTAAGGAATGTGGTGGACTGAAGTATAATTTACACCTGATTAAATGTTTTAGAAAGTTAAGAAGAAGGTTTCTCTGTGATTAGCAAGAAGTAATTATAGAAGATAATGACTTTCTTATTTGAAATACAAAAGTACAAGACATAAGAAAATTTTAAAGAGTAAAAACAAACAAAAAAAAAGAAGAGTTTTAAAAGGTGTGAAGTCTTACATAATTTTAAACTACTGTGTGGTAAAGTAGTGTTAATTTTGGAGCGTGATAATGGTATTGCAGTTACACTTGTGAAAGTCTTTTAAGAGCAAGGGTCAGTCAACTTTTCCTCCAGGGCCAAGTAGCAAATATTTTAGACTTTGTGGACCATAGGTTCTCCCTCTGGGAAAGCAGCCAATAGACAACCAATAAGTGAAAGGGTGTGGCTGTGAGCAATAAACAGCCTTTATAAAATAAGAGGTTGATCCACTGGCAAAAATTTGCCAACTTCTGACTCAGAAACTTACTGAAACACCTATGAGTGAGTAGAAAAGATAGCCAAGATTTGCTTCACAAGCAAATAGCAAATAAAAAAGTGGGTAGGGGAAAAATTAAAACAGGATTGGTCC